TGCACACACACAAATTCCCGCCAAGGGTATTATAATATTGACTCTATGCCAAAAATGAAAACTAGTACTTACACTATGAAAATGCAAGATGAAATCCTAACTGTAGAATGGCATGAAAATGCCACATTCAAATGTTTGCATATCTGATTTTTCTATAAATGTGCAGAAAGAAGACTGAAATAAATCTTTGGAAGGCATTTTTCACCTCTTTGTTTCTCAAAGGATATATTACAGGATTAAGCATGGGGGTTAGGATGGTATAGATAACAGATAACACTTTATGAAGACCACTTATTTTTATGCTGTTTGGTATTGCATAGATACTCATCAATGTGCCATAAAAAATAGTGACTACCAAGAGATGAGAAGAACAAGTGGAAAATGCCTTCTTCTTTCCTCTACTAGAAGACATCCTTACTATGGTTAAAATGATGAAAGCATATGAGGTTAGAGTTAATATAGATGGTGGAAAAGTAAATATTGAACTTAAAATATAAAGAAAGAGTTTGAAGGCATGGGTATCGCCACAAAACAGGTCTATGATTGGGAAGGTGTCACAAAAGAAATGGTCAATTTTATTATCACATAGAGCTAAATGAGACATGATAAACTGGGTTACTGCTGTTGCCATAAAACCATTAACCCAAGAGAAGGCTATCAGTCTGAAACAAGTTCTGCCATTCATCATGGTGACATAATGGAGTGGTTTGCATATAGCTAAATATCTATCATATGACATTGCAGATAACAGGTAACATTCCACAGATACAAAAGAACCAAACAAATAATGTTGTACAAAGCAGCCTTTGAATGAAATCATGTTGTTTCCAGTAAGAAAGCTAGACAACATTTGTGGTAAGATATTTGAGCTGCAACAGCTCTCCAAACATGAAAGGCTTCCAAGAAAAAAATACATGGGAATCTGAAGGTGTTGATCGAGGACAATTAATAGAATAATGAGTAGGTTCCCGGCCATGGTCCCGATGTAGATGAGAAGAAATGCTAGGAAGAGAAGAATCCTTAACATCTGATAGTTTCCAAATCCAAGCAGAATGAATTCATTGATATATGTCTCATTTTTTAATGCCATAGTTTCAAATAATTCTTCCTGAAATAAAAGAACTATGGCACATCATATTGATATTGTTGCATTTATTTTCAAAATGCATTAAGATAGAAGAAATAAATATAGACTTCTAACTAATCTTTCTTTGATTTTTCTCCATGATTGACATGTTCATGAAATTGTTCTAAACTAATTATTATGATTTTCTTAAAAAAATAATAATAAATGTAGACAGCCTTATTAATTCTTTTACATACATACTAACATATTGTAGATTTTCTTAAATTTTTATGAACTGATAAACAGAAACACACAAACCAAACCAAACCAAACCAAACCAAACCAAACCAAACCAAACCAAACCAAATCAAACCAAAGCACTAGTATGATCTTTATCCAAATTCATATGGTATAAAATTAGTGATGCTATTGTCATAAAGAAGTAATTTTTTCACACATACTTTGTATGAGAGTTTGTTTCTAGAGTAAATGATAATGTATTGCTCTAGTTGCAAAAAGAAACCATCAAATCAGCAAAAGAATCAGAAAGTGGCTTTATTATTATTTCATTAAAGTGAAACCTGATTCTCAGTTTTAATAAGAATAATACTATAAATTTGTTGTTGTTTGTGTGTGATTGCACTAAATGACATATGAGCCATTTACTATAATAGACCCTGATTCTTAAAGCTTGTTTGACATAAGTAGCCTGTTAATTTTATTATGTCTCTTGATAGCTTATGTTCAGAAAGTATACATTTCTTCTTCTTCTTCTTCTTCTTCTTCTTCTTCTTCTTCTTCTTCTTCTTCCTTTTCCTCTTCCTCTTCCTCTTCCTCTTCCTCTTCTTCTTCTTCTTCTCCTTCTTCTTCTCCTTCTCCTTCTCCTTCTCCTTCTCCGCCTTCTCCTTCTCCTTCTCCTTCTCCTTCTTTCTGCCCATCTGCCTATCTGCCTCTGTCTATCTCATAGTTTTCAAAAGTAAAAACCTGAATATTTGATCTAAGTCAGACATGTCAGACTCAAGGCTAGGGCAGCAGATCCTGCCCATGATGTGTTTACATCTGGCCAACAAGCAGATTAGTACCTGTTTTCCCCAAAATAAGACATCTCCTGAAAATAAGCCCAATCAGGCTTTTGAGCGCATGGCAATAAGGCCAAGCACTTATTTCAGGGTTCAAAAAAAAATATAAGACAGGGTTTTATTTTTGGGTAAACACAGTAGGAGGAGGTGATTGAATAGTAACCTCCTCACTTCTTCGGGTATCTTGTCAATGACAGCAGCACCCTCTGCCTGAGAGCCAGTGGCCGGTGAGGGAAAGACAGGGAAGGAAGAAACAAGAAAGGATGGAAAGTGATCAGGTTTTGTCTGTAATGGGGAAGTGAGATGAATTGGTGGTGGTGTCACACAGGTCTGGGGAGAGTCAGCTGGAGTTGCAGTGTTGCTGGGGCTCTGCTGTGGCCCTGGGATCAGTGTGCATGACTCCAGCCGATTGACATTTCCAGCAGCCTCGGCTGTTGCCAGCAGTAGCACACAGCTTTGGGGAGAGGGGTCAGCTGGAGCTATGGGGCTACTGAGGCTCAATGGAGACCCCAGAATCAGCACATCAGGGGCATTCTGTGGGGCAGAGTTTGAGTGAAAGGGAGGTAAACAGAAGAATCAGCAAAGGAACAGAAGAAGGAGACTCCAGCAGGCAGTGCAAGAGAGAGAGAGGAGAGAGAGAGAGAGAAAAGAAGGCCTGAATACCATCCTATCACATGACCTACCTGCTGGGAGAGACTGACCACCACCCCATCATATGACCTGCAGCCCCCTTATGCCCCAAAGATCCAGACTTACAGCATCCTACTTAGACTTAGACATAATACACCCCTAAACTAATTTGATACATAGTCTTACATGCAACTGGCCCTTTGAGGGCAACCATAATGCTGATGCAGCCCTCAATGAAATTGAGCATTATGGTTGCCCTCAATAATTTCCTTCAATTGAATGTTTATTGCTAGATTTGTAATCTTCTAGTTTATTTTTCAGTACCATTTAGAAATTCAATGAATTTTCTTTTTTTTATTGAAAAAGTTTTATTAGTAAAACAAACACAATTTCCCCACAATCCTCCCACCCAACCCCCCTGCCCCTCCCCGATTTCCCAGAGCAGAACACAAGGTATTTCTATTAACTTTTAACAATAAACTAAATTGCTTAACCAACCATTAAACTAACACCCCCTAAAAAAAATTCTTAACCCCCATAGATAAAATCCTACTTCTTAGACATAATACTTCTAATACCACTTATATAGTGCTTATACAGTTAAAAGAAATCATTCATAAGCTATTTGATATTTTTTAGTCTGATACTTATTTTGAATATAATCAATCCATCTTCTCCAGTCCTGTATATACCTTTCTTGTGTGTGATCCTTCAAATATGCTGAAATTTTAGCCATTTCAGCTAAATTAGTTACTTTCAATATCCAGTCATCAATAGTAGGCAAAAAATCCTTCTAATGAATTTTCATATATTTTAAATAATCTATAATTTTCATTTATTGCATGTTCAGACAGTTCTTGCTGAAAACAATTATACACACACACACACATATCATGCATGCACTACTTCTAAAATAATGCTTTGTAAGAAAGAGAGGAAAAAGGCTGTATACCTTCAATGGAGTAGTCGTGACAAAAATAAAAATGCAAATACTGTATCCAGTCCAGTATTTCAGGAGCTAAGGTAGAATTTCTTCAGAACTATTTTAATCATGTAATCCATTTAGGGTTTATTATGATATCCATTTATAGTTATGCTACATTGTTTTGCCTTGTCAGATCGGTATTTGCAATTGTGCTTTTTCTTCCTTTCAGTACAATGTAAAATTCAAAGTGAATTATCCATCCTGGAACTTCAAAGTTAGACATACATTTGTAGGCTGAGCAGACAATTACGGGCATCTTTATTTCCAATATCCCATTTTGTTCTCTATTATACAATAAGTTTCATTGTAGCTGGATTTATAAAGCAATTTCTCTAATAAATGAATAAAAATAAAATTGTATTTAATTTTATTTTCCTTCCAGACAAAGCACAAATAAATGAGATAGGAATCATCAACAATTAACTGGATATGAAGTTTTCTTTATACTTTATATTCAGAGTACCTATGGTACTGTGGAGGAGTATCTAATTAGCTTCTTTCTCCAGAGGTGAACACAAGAGGGTACACTATTCTTTATAATTGCAAATTATTTGAAAACATTTTTACCTTTGGGAAATAAAAGTTAAAAATGGGAATATGATTTTTATTTAAAATATCTAATTCAAATTAAAATAAACTTCATGCTTATATCATTCCATTTTTTTTATTTTATTTTTTTCACTTTTCATTAATGTGAAGGTCTATGACCAAGTAACTATTGGACAGCTACCTCTTTAAAGCTTTGATCATTGATGTGAAGTATGTTAACCTTCGCAGATATTGTGATATCAATGTATACTTCAGTTTAAATGAAGATTCTTAAATGTTCCTATGGTTCCAAGTGTTCTGAAGATAACAAAATTGAACAGCTGAGATGAAATAAACAGACTGATCTTTAGATGGGTAAAGAACTGAACCATGGATAAGCTTAATAGTAAAGTTAAATGTTGCATTTTAAATACAATTCAGTCTTTTAAATGAACATGCAAACTTTACAAAGATAACATTAATTGAAATAAATTATTTCTATTAATGATTTATCATTTTTTTATTAATGATTTTATATGTAGTCTGTACTATCATTATTAATGATCTTACAATTCAATTCCTTACAGAAGTACAGATAACAAATATTTACATAGCAACCATGAAATGATAATACATTTTAAAAATACATTACCCACTAATTAAAAATAACTTCTTGATAGCATGTATGGGAAACTAGTACAGCTGGCTGTTCTTAAATCTGACTTTTCATATGAATTTGAACAAAAATCAATGATATGATTCTCTTTAAAGCAACTTTCACTTCTTTATTTCTTAGAGTATATATAATAGGATTAAGCATAGGGGTTAGGATGGTATAGGTGGCAGAGAACACTTTATGGAGACCATTCACTTTTATGGCATTTGGTATTGCATAGATACTTATCAATGTGCCATAAAAAATGGTGACTACCAAAAGATGAGAAGAACAAGTGGAGAATGCTTTTTGTTTCCCTGTGGTAGAAGGGATTTTCATTATAGTTGCAATGATATAAATGTATGATGTTAAAGTCAATGTAAAAGGAGGAAAAGTGACTACAGAGCTAACAATATAGAGAGATAATTTTGATATGTACGTGCCACTGCAAGATAGTTCTATAACTGGAAGTGTATCACAGAAGTAATGATCAATTTTATTGTTAACACAGAAAGTGAGTTTGGACATTATGATAATTATTAAACTGCTTGCAAAAGTGCCACTTATCCAAGAGATGGCGATCAACAGGAGGCACAACTTCCCATTCATTATGGTGACATAATATAATGGTTTACATATGGCCAAATATCTGTCAAAGGACATTGCAGATAATAAACAGCATTCTACAGCTCCCAAAGAACCAAATACAAATTCTTGCCCAAAGCATCCATTGATTGAAATAGCCTTAGTCCCTGTAATAAAATGGGAAAGCATTCTTGGCAATATATTTGAACTGCAACAAATTTCTAACCATGAGAGATTCCCAAGGAAAAAATACATGGGTGTATGAAGGTGATGATCTATGACAACCAGTAGAATAATGAGGATGTTTCCAGCCATAGTAATAGCATAAATGAGAAGGAACAATATGAACAGAGGAGTATGAAGAAGTTTATGTTCTCCAAATCCCAACAAAATGAATTCAGTTACATGTGATTGATTTTCCACTTCTGAATGTTCAAATAACTGTACCTGCAAAAAACATATTACTTGTAAATCATAGTTATTGTTATGACTTTGATCCTAACATATCTGTCTCAGAACTGAGTTGTAGAAAGGTCAATTTCTTATTTCAATGCAATTTTGCTTTTCTGCTAAATGGCCATGATGGGATGAAATCTCCAATCATCACTTTCAGGCCTGTCAGACATTTTATGTTGTTTATTCTGAGACTTATGGGAGACTGGGATAGCACTATTTCGGTTTTATCAACATAGGAAAAACCCTGATTACAAAATATCACACATTTATACCTATGAATTAAAAGGAATAAATATTTGACCTTTACAGGGAGGAGTCATAAAATATGAGTGTGTCTGGCTGAAGAGGTTCAAAAAAACCGAAATAGTGCTATCCCAGTCTCCCATAAATCTCAGAATAAACAACATAAAATGTCTGACAGGCCTGAAAGTGATGATTGGAGATTTCATCCCACCATGGTGTCTTATGAGACTTCATCGGCCAGCCACACTCTTATTTTATGACTCCTCCCTGTAAAGGTCAAATATTTATTTTTATTTTGTTCTTTTAATTCATAAGTTCATATGTATAATACTTTTCTAGTCTGGGTTTATTTTTCTTATGTAGCTCAAGATGTTTGTATAGCCGTAGTGGGGTGATATCTCAAATCACCACTTTCAGGCTTTATCAGACATTTTGTGTTGTCTGTTGTGAGACTTAAGGGAGACTGGGATAGTACTATTTCTGTCTTATGAGACTTCATAGGCCAGCCACACCCTTATTTTATGACTCCTCCCTGTAAAGGTCAAATATTTGTTTTTATTTTGTTCTTTTAATTCATAAGTTCATATGTATAATATGTATAATATATGTATAATATGTATAATATGAGATATCACCCCACTATGGCAAATTAAAAGAAATAGTACTATCCCAGTCTCCCTTAAGTCTCACAACAGACAACACAAAATGTCTGACAAAGCCTGAAAGTGGTGATTTGAGATATCACCCCACTATGGCTATACAAACATCTTGAGCTACGTAAGAAAAAACCCTGACTAGAAAAGTATTATACATATGAACTTACGAATTAAAAGAACAATCAATATATATATTGAGTGAGAGCTTGCTAGGTGTTAGAAAAGAAAAAAGCCCAGAACCGAGTAGATGAGATTCTACTGAGCTGGAGCTACAAAAAAACCTTGGCTATGTAGGGAAAACCTGGCTAGAAGAAAAACACACATAAACCCTACGAAGAAGTAAGAAAATTGATACTGTGCCTTTACAGGGAGGATATGGGTGTGGCCTACTGATGACAGCTAACGAGCTAGAAATGGATCTATTTAGGTCTCCCACCTAGCAGTGAGAGCTTGCTAGGTGTTAGAAAAGAAAAAAGCCCAGAACCGAGTAGATGAGATTCTACTGAGCTGGAGCTACAAAAAAACCTTGGCTACGTAGGGAAAACCTGGCTAGAAGAAAAACACACATAAACCCTACGAAGAAGTAAGAAAATTGATACTGTGCCTTTACAGGGAGGATATGGGTGTGGCCTACTGATGACAGCTAACGAGCTAGAAATGGATCTATTTAGGTCTCCTACCTAGCAGTGAGAGCTTGCTAGGTGTTAGAAAAGAAAAAAGCCCAGAACCGAGTAGATGAGATTCTACTGAGCTGGAGCTACAAAAAAACCTTGGCTACGTAGGGAAAACCTGGCTAGAAGAAACACACACACACACACACACACACACACACACACACACACACACACACACACACACACATATATATATATATATATATATATATATATATATATATATATATATATATATTGGATAGATATAGAGATGAAGCTAGAATTAGAGATAGACAGATAGACAGACAGAATAGTGACATTTCCAGAAGTTATTTTCTTCCCAATTTTATAGTGATGGTTATAAAATACAATAAATATAATATAAGATTTGTGAACATTTCAGCAAAACTGTAAATTAATGAAATTTTGGCTAGGCTTCTCTGTCATGTTTAGCTAAGTTCAGTGGTGGGTTGCTGCCAGTTTGTCCCGGATTGGGCAAACTGGTAGTGGTGGTGACGGGAGGCTCCGCCCACCCACCTGGATGCTTCTGCGCATGCGCAGAAGTATTGCTCGCACACATGAGCGTGCAAGTGCCCATGAGCAGACTGATAGCAACAGTTTTGAAACCCGCCCCTGGCTAGGTTAGTCAAGGAACAAAGAGCTATGCTGATGCAACATTAATTAATTTTTACCGTATCAATTTTTGTTTCTAATGCAGAATACTTTGTATTATTCAATAATTCTGTGCATGGTATCTTAGATTAGCCTTAAAGCAGTTAGCTTTCCTGTTTTTTTTTTTTTTTGTTCCTTCCTTCATTGTACATATGTTGTGCACTGACAATAAAGATTTGAATTGAAGTCCTTCCTTTTTTTTTTTTTTCATTAGTTGCTTCTGCCTTGGCACCATATTCTAGCTTTACTAAGAGATGAAGGATTCTATGAGAAGACTTCAAAGTCCTATTGGCACATCTGGAATTTGCAAAAGTGAATGCCTCTTTTACTTTTTTGCAAGTGCCAGTGGGGTTAATGGTGTGTGTATGTGTGTGTGTGTGTGTGTGTGTGTGTGTGTGTTATCTCACTATCTATACTTAGAATCTGCCAGCATTTTCAAAATATTGGAAGGTGTTGAGAAAGTTTGTGAAGCAGAGAGAAACAGTGTGATTGCTGCTCCTAGAAACAAGAGGATGGAATCATTTGCAGTTTCAGTTGCATGCTTCTTTTGACAGTCAAAAAGTGAAGTAATCTCTAAAGACTTGCACAGCCCTATTACTTAATATATTGTATTATGGAAACCCATGAAATGGGTTGATTCAGGAAACAACCCAGATGTGTAATATGAAGCTAGCCTATGTTTTTTCTTTGATCAAAGATCCTTTGATCAAAGATCCTTTGACTCAATATTCTCAGTGTTATAAATGACAACAGGTTCAGCTAAATTCTCTGATTTATTTCTTTGCTCTTAGACCCCTTTTTAAAAGCAAAACAAAAAATAGTATATATGAACTGCTGCCCTTGAAATCAATCATCCATGTATTCAAATAATTCTATAGCTACATACCTTTGATGGAGTAATCATCGTTTCAGAGTAAGTTAGGAAGGTAAAGCAACTTCTTCAGAAGATTCTTTGCTATGTGTATTTTTCATAGCGTTTCCCCCCCAAAGTGTTTAAAATATCCTAGTGATGTTATCCATTTTAGACAATATCCAGCAATGCACAACCATAAACCATCTCTGGTATTGAAATAAGATAATTTGAGAAATTAATGCTTAGTATTGGTTTCAACACTTTATTAGCATATTTCTTTACAATTTCACACTCTAACAAAACCAGAGCAAATACATTTTACCTATATTTATACAATCAAGGAAATATTTCTGGTCACATCTATAATTAGATCAAATTATATCTCTATTTGTTTTTCTTACTTCATACAACTAAGGGCATCAACAAACATTCTTAGGTCATTTTGTTATTTATGTATCAACTCTGGAGAGAACACAGAATCTTTCCTCCCTTGGCTTATATATTCAAAATACACTAATATAACAACAATAAGAACCACAATTCTCATAAGACATAGCAAACACACAGGAATTGATTAGAGACAGGAAAAAAAATATTATTGGACTTACTGACAGATTAATTCTACAGATCTATAGACAGAAAAATACTGAAGTGGATCTAGGGCTTACAAATGGATTAAGTCTGCAACTGGAACAAGTACAGTTTTGCTTTTTTTTTTTTGCTTTTAATTCACTCTTTAACACTCCATCTTAAAAAGTTCATTTACAGTGATGCAATATTTCACAAAGCTAGTTTGACTAAGTTATTTATGAATTATTTATTTATTTATTTATGAATTACTGAATTTACTGTATGCAGGATCTTTTCTTGTATTAATGCATACATTCAATCATTCATTTATTTAAAAGATAAATAAATTTGCCTAACTCCAACAATGTGACTTTGAGTGACATACAGCAATAAGCCAGAAATCACAACCCACATATGCACATATGGACACACACACACACACACACACACACACGCATACACAAAACAGGTATAGTAGTAAAACATGGAGAGTATTTAAAAAAATGTGATCAACTACCTCAATAAAATAATCAAAAGCACATCAACAAAAACCAAAAACCAGCAGCCCAGATTTGCTTAAAATGGATGATCATATGAATCTTCTAAATAAATACAATCAATAAATCAATAGGGGTCTTCACTTAAATAGTCCCAATATTTAGACCAATGCTTCTCTATCTATCTATCTATCTATCTATCTATCTATCTATCTATCTATCTATCGGCATTGGCCTATATATAACATTTCCTGTGCCCAGAAATGCACAGTCCTATTTTACTGATCAGATGTACCTCACTAACTTTGAATGAAATCTTCACAAGGTGTAACTTTGCAATCTCTATTCTCTCTAAATTCTCAAATGCTCTTTTTAGTATAATTGTTTCTGTGTACTATGTGTATTATTTTAATTACAGCTAGGTGTTCTATATTAACCTGGTCCTGATTGGATCATTAACATGGTCCAATCATATGATCCATTTGATTGTCCTGTCTTATTCCAAATTCAGTTTCCTCCAAGTGATGGTGCTTTAGTTTAAGCCACTACATTTATGTAACTACAAGTTGGCTAAAGTGCTTATTCCTGTATACTAACTAAATATTATCTTATATTTATGGAAATGTGTCCTTAAGTATGTATACTTCATATGTAACCAAAAACTTCTGGTGCTTAAATGTTCCCAGGAAACTCATGTTATCACTAATTATGAGGTCTGCTCACACTCAAATTTAAATTCCTTGACAATCTTGTAAATTGAAATAGTAGTTTATGACATCAAATTAGTTGTTGCTCCAGAAAGATATTATTGTAGTTGTTGCATATTTCCAATCAGTATATTCTATTGTTCAAAATGTGAGAATCAGAGATTAAACTGCAGAATTTTCTATGTATGAAACAAAATGCAGAAGTTCAACTAAGTATTCCAGCTACTGTCATACTTTAAATCAAAAATTTTGGAACTTTTATATATAGTTAGACAATGTGGTCCACAAATATAGAGTTTTATGAGAAGATAGTATAATTTAGATTCTAAATCTGTTAGCATGATTACAAAAGACCTACTTAACCTACTTGCTTACTTAAAAGTTTCATTTTCTTTCCAAATCTACACTGATTTATTGGATAGGATTAGAATCAGCCCTTACTTTACCTACAAAAACACCCCCACATTGCCTTTTTTGGAAGTTGCACCACTAAATCAATTTCAAAGAGAAATTTTATGTGACAAATTTTATGTGACAGTTTATGCTCCTAGGACACAGATTGGGAGGATAAAAATAATGGAATCTTTCAGTCAGTGTGTGAGAACTAAAAGAAATGGAAGCTCACAAGAAACATGGCAAACGGGGATGAAACACGACTTAAATGGAGATGCTTCATTAATCAGAACACTACTATCCCTTGCTTGTTCTGTAGTTGCTGCTCATATGTATCTTAAAATTCTAACATAACTCAATAATTACTTAAATCACTGAATTAATGCTTATTTTAAAATGCATATCAAAATAAATATACTGAACAAATATATATATGTATATAATAATATGCAGTTCCAGACTTACCTTTGAATAGTTTTTGTTTTGTTTTGTTTTGTGTAGACCTTTTTCGTTTTTTAATATTTGTTATTGTAATGCAAAAAAACAAAAATCAAGCCAAGATATGAATAAAGTCATATGCATATAAGAAATAAAGCAGGTAAGGCAGGAATTAATGGCTTCAGACTACAGAAAACAGGATCTCAACAGAGATGGCACTACCAAGTCTATCAAGAGAACAGCCAACACCCCATGAACTCAGAAAAAAACTCCTAAAGTTTAAACCTCTGATCACAGGGATGTAATTCTTTTATATGGACTGATTGAAGAAACAATCTTAGGAACTAGTGCAACCAAAAGACATAAGTGTCTAAAGAATCAGGCTTCAGTTGAGTCCTGACATGAAGTGTGACAATAAAAATGATGCAGTCCAAAACAGCTTTTGCACAATTTCTGAAAAAGTATAATTTCTGAGAAGTTAAGCATAAGTTTGATAATTTAACAGAAACAATAAAGTTGATTAGAAACTCTAATTAATGCATAACTAATAGAATTTGAATGTGTCCTAAAATTGAAATGGGCATACATTAATACTTGATTTATTAGTAGATATCAGTGTAATTTATAAGAGATTGACATAAATTTGCAACTAAACTACCTAACCCTCTTTTTAAAATTTGGAAAAAAATAATGACAATTTGGAACAACAGATGTGAAGTTTTGAATGTGAATTTAAGATTGTGATATGCAAAAGTCAAATCATTGGATTCAGCATTTTTTAATGCACACCACAAGTTAATATCTGCCTATTCTGGCATGAGAATTTCTGAGTAAGAGGGCTTACTCATATTTACTTTCTATGTTTTTTTAAAAAATTTCAGAAAACAAATCTTTAGTAATAGTATCAACATTATTATCACTATTATTATTTATATGGAGTTTAATAAGCAAACATTTGATTTTAATTAGTATCAAGAAATATTTATTTATTTCTTGAGACATTTTCCAATTGCCTGGTGATATTTGTTTGCAGAAGCCTATTGATATAATTACTTACTTGATTTCTAATCCATCCTATGACTATAGATCTCTGAAGAGAATCCTTCACTTCTTTATTTCTTAGGCTGTATATGAGAGGGTTGATCAAAGGTGTTAGGATTGTATAAAAGGCAGAGATGAGTTTGTTCCAGTCACTTAAGGAATTTGAATCTGGTAAGGTGTATGCAACAGTGATAGATCCATAGTAAATAGTTACCACAATGAGATGAGAAGAACAGGTAGAAAAGGCCTTTTGTTTTCCAATAGTAGATGGGATTTTAAGGATAGTAGATATTATAAATGTATATGACAATAATGTTAATGTAAAGGGGGGAAGGGTGAACAGTGATACAAACGTTAAAATTAGGATTCTTAAAAGAAGAGTATTGCTGCAAGACAACTGCATGATTGGGTAGGTGTCACAAAAGAAATGGTCAATTTCATTTGGACCACAGAAGACTAACCGTGACATTAATATAATTGTTACAGTACTGGCAATGAATCCAGTTACCCAAGATCCAGCTGCCAAGTGAAGACACAACTTACCATTCATTATGGACACATAATGAAGTGGTTTACATATAGCCACATATCGATCATAGGACATTGCTGAAAGGAGATAACATTCCACAGCTGCTAGGTATGCAAAGAAATAATGTTGCACAAAGCAGCCATTGATTGATATTGATCTGTCTCCATTGAAGAAACTAGCTAATATTCTGGGTAAAATAGCAGAACTATAGAAAGATTCTAAGCAGGATAAATTTCCAAGGAAGAAATACATAGGAGTATGAAGATGTCGATCAGTTGCCACCAGTAAAACAATAAGGACATTTCCAGCAATAGTCATAATGTAGATTATAAGGAATACCAGTAGCAAAATAATCCTTATGTTCTGAAGATGCTTAAATCCCAACAAAATGAATTCTGTGATAACAGTTTGATTTCGCAGTCCTAGAGTTTCAGTCAGCTGCATCTGTGACAAACAGCAGAATAGCAATTTAGTTGTTACAAACATTACATAGTGTCTCTCTTCTTTCCATTACTCATAAATAGAAAACATACTTTCAATCTGTAAATTAAAAAAAAAAAGGTCAATTGTCATCTGGTAGCGGCACAAAGCATTAGAATTTTGGATAAAATCTTGCACAGTTTTAAAAATGTTGTTTCAGAAAACAACTTCTGAAAACTCTGAAATCACTGGAAATAAAAGGAAAATAAATTATTAACAAGCAAATAAATAGGAGTACCAAATTACAAATTAATAAACATAACTCATATTATTATAGTGTCATGGTTATTAACCAAAGGTTTAGAAATTTCAACATATTGTATAAAAAGAAAGGAGGCTGACAAAATCACATTTCTATTTAATAAGCTTATTTAGATGTTACCATAAATCTTTTCC